TTCCTGCTGGAGGATCACTCTTTGGACAGGACCCTGATTGTGCACTGGAGTGTAGAGGGCTGCAGCTTCTCTTGGCCATGTGGGGTCCCTTCTCCTTAAGCAACTGGCCACGCTTAATTGGTTCAGAGGTGGCAATGGCCTTTAGAGATAATCTAGTACAGTGTCAAATGTGGCCCCAGGACCAGCAGAATCGGCATCATCTGGGACCTTGTTAGAAACACATTCTCAGGCCCCACCCCAAGCCTGCTGAATCAGACACTCTTGGGGATGGGGTCCAGAAATTGGTGTTTTAACAAGCCTTCCATGTGAGAGAACCACTCATCCAGTCCATCTGCTCACCCTTATCTTATAGGTGACACGCTGGGTCCCACCGCTGGTCAAGGCAACACCTCAACTCTGTTCTAGCTCTCCGCTCAATCCTGCAGGTTCCAACCTGCCTCCCTTTCTTGGTGAAATACCAGTCTTATCTTCCTTTTTCAAATGGAAATCGTGCTGTGAAATCTGCAAACTATAACTTCTTTCAGGTAAGGAAAATCACCCTACTGGACTTACCCTATCTCCTACCAAGGCTCTGGCCACCATTATTTTGTGCCACAAAATACGTAGTATCATGCACGTACCACCAAGTGGCCAGAGGAACCATGGCTGTAACCTCCAGAATATTGTGCCAAATGAGAAACTAAAATCCCCTCCGTGAGTGCAAGGACTTTGAACATTATAGCTTGTCTCTTTTCATTAGAACTACCATTTTTTAGGACCAACATACACCAGATCACACTTGATACACTCAAAATTCAGATGCCAGCCAAAACCCAAGTATTAGAGGCACATAGCACAATCAGGAATATCGAATTATTTAATCCTTACTACGTGCCTGGGCAGTATTACCATCCCAACTATCCACAGAAGAAAATGGGTGCAGGAGAGGTTAAAGAATCTCCCCCAGACCATACAGGTAACCCACACAGAGTTTAAGGCTCCACCCTCTTGTAGCCAAGGATAGCCCCTTTTCCCACCCTGGGGCCCAGGCCCCTTTCCTCTCCAGAATAACTCCTCTGCCTCACGCCACCAAGGGTTCCTTCCTGCCTTACACTGCAGACTTCAGGGAGAGGACTGTCAGTGGGCATCTCTTTATTTGATCTCAAGTTCCTAGACCCTCCTTTCTTTGTAAAGCTTAGCACTTTAGGTTTTTCTCCTTGACCTCATGTGTATTTTAGCCCTTAACAGTAGCCAGCATTCCATTTCACAGTTTGCAATGCTCCTGGCCCCCATGGCACTTCACGAGCCGCACAGCCAGAAAATTCTGCAGTACACTTCAATATTTCTTGCATCTGAGATGTCTGCTTTCAAGGGAATATATAGCATGTCCCTCCACCTTTTTTTCCTCAAACAGAAACAGCATCATCCTTAAGCACCAGACAAACTTTCTCACAGAAATAATAACTTTTAAAAATATAAAAATAAAAGCTATTTGCTTTCAAACTAACTACGTTTTATATTTCTAGGGCAAGAATATACCTTCTGTTTGCCCATGGGAGAAGACATTTTTTTAAAATTATTTTTTAACATCACTGTGTGAAGTTGTTAGAGCTTAAAATTGATCAAGGGTTCATTATACAACTTATGACTGTCGTTATCACTCACATTTTGATCCGTTAGGTTTCTGTTCCAACCTTATGTATACTATGAACGCAACTTACTACCATAAAATTTTTAAAAATGACGCATCATGAAATTTTGAGAGAAGAATTTTTCGGTGAATTTTAGGCAGATACTTTCTCTGATTGTCCAAGCGATATATATATATATATATATACACACACACTAGTGTCTCAGAAGATGGCAGTTCTTCAGAATATAGTTCTGATTCAGACGATGTGACTATTAGACCAACAAAAAGCCAAAAAAACCTTAGTGATTGATTCTGATATGAAAAGTGAAAATGAAACTCATGGTGCTGGAGAATGCTCCTTTGCTTCTACAGAAGAGTGGATTGAAGACAGCATTTCATGGAAATTAGACTTTATAGGAGTGTCAGGTGTAACTATTGACTAATAACGCACAAAGTGTTAGTGAAATAACAGAATTAATCTTTGGCAACGACTTTTTCGAGTTGGTCGCTTCTCAGACGAACCTGTATCACCAACAGAATGAAAAATCGTATAAAAGTATAAGGCTTTAAAATGAACTGATGTAACCAATAGTGACATGGAGAAGTTTCTTGGATTAATAATTTTGATGGGACAAAAATAAAGTCACACTGGAGAGAGTATTGGTCAACTGACCCCTTACTTGAAACACCTGTCTTTCCAAACAAATAATGACATTTCTTCACTTTAACGATAACTCAGAAACTCCACTTCCTGCGGACAGAATTTCAAAGTTAAACCTCTTCTGGATTATTTTCTACCCAAATTTCAACTGATCTATATACCTAAACAAGAGCTATCACTTGAGGAGGCAAAGATAAAGTGGAGAGGACGACTCAGATTCAAAACCTACAATCCCGGAAAACTTACAAGATACGGAATTTTGGTCAGGGTGCTTAGCGAAAGTGAAACTGGATATATATGCAACCTTGAGATTTCCACGGGTGAAGGAAAGAAACTGCAAGAAACAGTATTATGGGTCCTACAACCTTATCTTGGTTCATGGCACCATATTTACCAAGACAATTATTACAACAGTGTGTCCACATCTAAAATATTGTTGAAAAATAAAACCAGAGTTGGTGGGACTATGTGGTCTACCAAACCAATTAAAGGAGAAATCTAAAAATCTGCAGAGGGGAGAAATGACATTCTTACAGAAGGGAGAAGTGATTCTTCTTATATGGAAAGACAGGAGGTTAGTCCGCATGGCGACATTATTCATGACGCCTCCACAGCATCTACAGGAAAGTTAGACAGGAGGACTGGACATCAGATAACTAAGCCCACTTGTATATTAGAGTACAACAAATATATGAAAGGAGCTGATCGATCTGATCAATATCTGGCAAACTTCAATATCCTCTGGAAAACTCGAAAATGGTATAAGAAAGTGGGTTTCTATTTGATTAATTGTGGTGTATTGAATGCGTTTAAAATTTATTGTAATCTCTCCCAGCAGCCTCAGAAACAGCGGATTAAAGCTACACAATCAATTTGATGTACCCTGCCTCTGTGGAATACATGAATAGACAGCGAATCATCCCAAATTGAGGAGGCGGACTTCTAGAGCAAGATCTATGATTTTTTCCCCTTTTCCTCTTTTTGTGAATGTGTATGTGTATGCTTCTGTGTGAGATCTTGTCTGTATAGGTTTGCTTCCACCATTTGTCCCAGCGTTCTATCCGACCATTTTTTTTTTAATTTTTTTCTTAATAATTAATTTTAATTTAAAGAACTCTATTATACTTTACCTTCTTTCTATCTTTCCTTCCTTCCTTCCCTTTTTGAGACAACGAATCGTCCCAAATTGAGGAGGTGGACTTGGAGAGCAAGTTTTATGATTTTTTCCACTTTACCTCTTTTTGTGAGGGTATATGTGTATGCTTCTATGTAAGATTTTGTCTCTATAACTTTGCTTCCACCATTTGTCCTAAGGTTCTATCCTTCCCTTTTTTTTTTCCTCTAAATAATTATTTTTTTAATTCAATAACTTTATTATACTTTATTTTATTTTACTGTATCTTCTTTCTTTCTGTATTTTTTCCTTCCTTCCCTCATTCCTTCCTTCCTTCCCTCCTCCCTCCCTCCCTCCTTTCTTTCCTTCTTGCCTTCTTCCTTTCTTTTCTTCTTTCTTTCTTTCTTCCTTCCCTCCTTCCTTCCTTCCCTCCTTTCTTTCTTGCTTTCTTTCTTTCTTTCCTATTTCCTCCTACTTCTACTAATTCTCTCTACTTTCTCTCCCTTTTATTCTGAGCCGAGTGGATGAAAGGCTCTTGCTGCTCCAGCCAGGAGTCAGGACTCTGCCTCTGAGGTGGGAGAGCCAACTTCAGAACACTCGTCAAGAAGAGACCTCCCAGCCCCACATAATATCAAACGGCGAAAATCTCCCAGAGATCTCCATCTCAACACCAGCACCCAGCTTCGCTCAACGACCAGCAAG